TTATATTTAATGGTGAAACACTAGCATCTTTACTTCATTTATATGTTAAAATTGAAGCCAGCTCCTTAGGCCACAGCTACTAAGATAAGCAAATAGGCCTCTTTCTGGGGGAAAAACTGATTTCAGTCTACTGCCTCTGCTGGGCCCCCGGGTGTTATCAGAGCCTTTTAATAACTGTCTCTTAATGTGCCATAGCCTTATGGGTCTTGTGGATACTAGCCCCATTCTTTCAAAGTTAGATGTTTTGGGGACCCATCTCTCAGGTGGAAGTCTTAAAAATTAAGGCACAGGGTGTGGCATCCAAACCCTTCACTCCTCTGAGAGAATCTGGAAGTATGATTTCCCTCCCAGTTGTGTGACACTGCAGCAAGGGTGAGGTTTATGGCAAGGTTTTGTCTCATTTGCCCAATGTGTAGGAGCCACTCAGTTTTTGGATTTCTTTCAGAAGGAATTGTGCGCTGTGTAGCTGTAGATTCTGTGTGTCTGTAGGAGGAGGTGAGTTCATTATCTTCTATATCACCATCTTGAACCAGAACCAGGTGATCTTTTTCTTAAAGTTTAAGAAATTTAAATTCCTCTTTAAATTCCTATACTGTTAAGATGGTTTGAGATCATTGAAAAAGATAGAAACAGTTGCAGTTCAACAACCCTGATACCAAAACCTGACAAGAATAGATTTAAAAGACTATAAATCTGTCTCAATTATGAATAAAAATCTTAAATAAAATATTAGCAAATAATATCCATCAGGGGATTAAAGTAATATACCAAGGCCTGATGGATATGTAAGGAAGATTTATATTGGAAAATATATTAATGTAATTTATTGCATTAATATAGAGTAAAAGCAAAAATATAATGACCTCATAATTATATAGCATTTTAAAATTATTTCTGATTTAAAAAAATTGCAGCAAGTTAGGAATAAATAGAAGAAAATGTTCTTAAGTTGATGAAGAGCACCCATCAAAAACCAAAATCAAACATTGTATTTAATGGTGAAACACTAGCATCTTTACTAAATTCAAGGGCAAGAGAAGGGTGCCTGCTGTCACAACTACTATTCAGCATTGTCCTGGAGTCATAGCTTGATAAAACAAGAAAAACATGCATAAATATTAGAAAGGGGACAAAATTATTATGAGTGACATAATGATTTATTTAGAAAAATCCAAGAGAATCAACTGAGTAACTTTTAGAAGCCATAATAGTTTAATAAAGTAATTTGAATGCAAGATAAATACACCCAAATCAGTAGCTTTTTATTTATTGTTATCATAAGTGAAATCTTTTCAATTAAAAATTTAAATTGGTAAGTTTTAATTGAAAAGATTTCATTTATGATAGCAATAAAAACTTTAAAAACTAGCTAGCAAGAAGCCTATATGAAGATTATTTTATTTTTTATGAAGATAATTTTAAATGAAGGACATAAGACTATAGAAACAGGAAAGCATATTATGTTCCTGGTTGGAATGAGTCTGTGCCATGATAGTTATCTTAAAATTTACCTTGCTATAATGTTATTATTTGGTAGTTACTTTTCATTTCCTTTGAGAATTGTAGTATCTCCTCAGTTTACCCAAGGCAATGATGAACCTCAGAGCCCAAACTTCTTTCACATTCTTAACGCACAAAGCTAAGTGCAGAACTAGGACACGTTTGCCTCACCTTTGTATTAGCTGTTCAAAAATTCATGAGTGGAAAAGCTGGGTATTTGGTGACCACTATCCTCTAAAGGGTTTAGAGTTTTAGGTTTATTTCTTTACTGAAAAAGTAACATATGGTTTTTATTAAAAATTCAAGCAGAGAATTTAGGATATATTTATAAAATTTAAATGATTAAATATTAATCATTTTAATAGATTAAGAGGAATGGTTGTGTATGGGGGGTGGACTAGGAGTGAAAAGATCTAGATTCTAGAGCCAGTTTTGTTATTAACCAGCTATGGGTCCTATTAATAAAAATAATAACTAAAATATTCCTTTGTGCTTCACAGTATTTGAGGCACAAAAATGCTTTGAGGCAGGCGCTATTAACTCCTATTTAATAAATGAAGAAACAGGCTTAGAGAGGTTAAGTCTCTCATCTGGTAAATAGCTTAGCTGAGATTAGAACTAGACAGTCTAGCACCTTTGCATTGGCTTACTCTGAACTACCATGTTGCACCTCTTCTCTTCAAGTGAAAATTCTGATTTAACACTTTTCCCTGTAGAATTTTATTTAGCCATGTATAACTAATTTATATATGTATAAAACTTTTTAATGGCTTTGTATGGAAATATATAAGGAAGTAATAGGATTTTAAAATGTCTTCGAAGTATGGCTGAGTTAAATGTATTATATTTCTGCCATATATATGTGTTTAAAATCACACAACTTCCAAGTTGCATAGAAACCTTTGGGACCAGTTACAGTCTTAGACCAACTCTTTCATTTTACAAATGAGAAAACTGAGACCCGAAAAGAAGTTAAGTGACTTGGTTGCAGCTTCATATTTTCATTTCTCTGGTCTCCGCTGCTAACTCCTGTGTGACTTCAGGCAAATCCTTAAGTGGCCTCAGTTTCCTTGAGTGTAAAATTGGAATTCTTTCCATTCTAAGTTGTCATTCTTTCACTTATCTTTTCAGGTATTCTTTGGGTGAAACCTTGTTTTATAAGGTGTAAATGAGTGGATTCAGGACTAAAAGCAGAGCCTGCCCAGAGATCTTGATGATAAGACTTGGGAGTGAGAATCTGCTAGCTTTTTAGCTTTGAGATTTTCCTAACAGTTGATTTCTTCTTTGGCTTCTTCAGGACATCATATCACTTATTGGTTCCCATAATCTATTCTTTTCCCCTTCCCTCATAGTTTTTGTGATTCTTCTTTAAGTAGTATACTTAATTATTTATTATTTTTTTAATCCTCACCTGAGAATATGTTTATTGATTTTAGAGAGAGGAAGGGAGAGAGAGAGAGAACATCAATGTGAGAGAGAAACATTGGTCAGTTGCCTCCCATAAGCACCCCGACCAGAAATAGAACCCGCAACCTTTTGGTGTATGGGATGCTGCTCCAGCCAATTGAGTCATCCAGCCAGGGCTACTTAATTCTTTTAATTACAGCAGTAATGCATGTTTATTGTTTACAGCAGTAATGTATGTTTATTATTTTTTAAAAATCAGTACTCAGCATGGGCTGGAAAGTAAGAGTCATTTTTAATTCCAACACACAAAGATAACCACCTATAATAATTTGGTACCTATTTTTAAAAGAAAAAGTACAGCCCTGGCTGGTGTGATTCAGTTGGGTATCGTCCTGTGCACGGAAAGGTTGCTGGCTCAATTCCGATCAAGGGCACATGCCTGGCTGCAGGCTCAATTCCCCATAGGGGGCCTGCAGGAGGCAGCCAATGGATGTTCCACTCTCACATCAGTGTTTATCTCTCTCCTCCCCTCCCCTCCTCTCTTTCTCTAGAAAATCAATAAAAGTATTTTTAAAAAGAAAGAAAAAGTACAGATGTGCCATCATATATTACAGTGGTACCTTGGTTTTTGAACTTCTCCATTGACAAACATTTCAGAGCAAATGCTTCCGCTTTCCAACACGCCTGGAAGTTGAACATGCCACATGGCTTCCGCTGAAGGCAAGATCCTGAGGCCCAGCTGTCGGCTGAGGATCCCTCGGTTTTCAAACATTTCATAACCCGAATGGTCTTCCGGAACGGATTGCCTTTGAAAACCGAGGTGCCACTGTACCTATTTTGTGTAACCTTCTCCTTTTCCCCCACCCTCATTGTGTGTTGTGGACACATGCGTTGTCTGACCTACATAGTTTCACTTTTAAGAAATTATGTTCTATATTTATAACACAATAATGGTGTTATAAAAATGGTTTTTGTTTTTCCTGTGATTTCTGCAAAGAGGGTTTTTTTAAAGGTTAGAACTATAATTCTAAAAGTCACTGAGCAGATCCAGCATTTGACTATTCTAGCATTTACTCAGAATAGCAGCTTTTCTTTTGTCATCGCTGGAGCAGGACAGAACTGTTATCTATCTAGCATCCCAATCATCAATTCCTTGTTCATATAAACCAAACTAAAATGCCATACCAGAAACACTATTGGGTTACTCCCATAACTTTTTCTCCTGCCAGAGGTGCTCTTGAAATTGTGATCAGAAAAGGTCTGCTTAATGCAAATCACGTTCTTATAGGCAAGTTTCTTTGGATAGGTGTGCCTGGTTTTTAAAAGAAACAGAAAGCCCTGGCCGGGTGGCTTAGTTGGAGCATCCTCCCGAACATGAAAAGGTTGCAGGTTCGATTCCCGGTTGGGACATGTTTATGAGGCAACCAATCAGTGTTTTGCTTACATTAATGTTTCCCTCTCGCTCCCTTCCTCTTTCTCTCAAAATAAAAAATAAAATAAAATAAATCAATAAAAGCTTCCCTAGCCCGTGTGACTCAGTGGTTAGAGTGTTGGCCCTCACACCAAAGGGTCTTGGGTTTGAGTCCCAGTCAGGGGCACATACCTGGGTTGCAGGTTCAATAGCACCTTGGTCAGGGCATGTGTGGAAGGAAGACAACCAGTCAATGTCTCTCTCTCACATCGATGCTTTTCTCTCTCTCTGTCTTCCTCCCTCCCACCCCTCCCTTCCATTCTCTAAAAATCAATGGAAAAAATATCTTTGGATGAGAATTAACAACAACACAACAAAAATCAATAAAAACATATCCTCGGGTGAGGATTAAAAAATTTTTAAAAACAAACAGAAAATGCAGTTGGTGTTAGGGGTGTATGTAATTTGCATGCAGTGTCTTACTAAAAGAAAATGCCAGCTGACTAATTTCTTAATGTCCGTAAGCCTCAGTTTCCCATCTGCAAATTGAGAATTACAATAGTATCTTCTTCCCAGGGTTACTTAAGAATTAAATGAGATAAAGCACATAAAGTGCTTAACACTGTGCCTGGCATCAGAGCATTCAATACTGTTTTTAAAATTTTTTTAATCTCATATTGATTTTAGGTGAACTTTAAATAATTTTTTTCTTATGCAGAAGACTTAACCAATGGTTCATATGATGATGTCCTAAATGCTGAACAACTTCAGAAACTCCTTTATCTCCTTGAGTTAACTGAGGATCCTGTAATTATTGAAAGAGCTTTGGTCACCCTAGGTAACAATGCAGCTTTTTCCACTAACCAGGTAAGTGCCATAGCCTTTGCAAACCAGCTCCTGCCATTCTTACACACCAGCAATGATTGTGACCCTGAGGAGTTAACTGCCTAGAGCAGGATATTTATAACATCATTCTCCGGCCATACAAAATTATCAACTTAAAAATTGAAAAAAGCTCCTAGATTTATTGAATTTTGAGTCCCACCTGCAGTTGCCTTGGCAGGGCCAGACCAAGAGATTTCATGGCCATATATGGACCAAGGGCCTGACATTCCCCACCCCTGGCCTAGAGCCTCAATTTCCTTATCTATACAATTGACTACTTTCACCAATAGCATAAGGTTTGTTTTCTTCTGAAAAGCACAGCCTAATAGTGATATGCTTGTTAATAGGTTTCTAGATCCCTATTAAGTTGGTTACAAGTAATCACATTCGTAATAAGTGTATCTAATTAACGTTCAGCATTGCAAGGCCTTTTTAATTATTTAAAATTCAGCAGTAGAACAATGAAAGCATCTAACATTAAAGTACATGCTATACACTGTAATAACTCTTGTGAGGATGGTTCTGGTGCAGGTGGTCCCTGGATCACTCTGACAGCTACTAACCAGTGTAAACAGGTTGTACAAGTAGAGACTTGACACCAAGACTAAAGAGCTTAATTTGAAAACTTTCATCTCTGCCCCACCCCCACTCCCATGGAGAAAAAGTAAAAAGTTTTTGTTATTATTTTCAGCGAATGCCCCTTGTTAACATTGCCATGAATGCAAAATTAATTTGAATTTATACTTTATTTCAGTCCAGTTTTCTCCAGTATGGCAAGGTTTCATGTAAAGTTCTAGAGATTTATAATGAAATATAAAGAATATTTTTGTATTAATTACATTCTTTCAATTGCAAGTAACAGAACCCAACTTAAATTATTTTAAACCAGAATGGGAAAATACTGAGCTCAGTTAACTTGGACATCCAAGAATAGCACTGGTTTCAGGCACAAGTGAATACTAGTCACGGCTACGGAAAGTGTTATCAGAGCTCTCTATCTTCTGTCTTTGCTAACCCCTGCTTCTTTTTGTGTATTGGTTTTGTGTCTCTGGCCGCAAAGAGGTTTTCTTCATGGGTATGGAAATAAAGCCACTGGCCTCGGAAGCCTTCATCCCTGTAGCTCATAATCCAGAAAGTGGAGTTGCTGTGCTAGGATCAAGTGCCAACCCTTTGGATCAGTCGCTGGGACAAGGCACCATGATTAGCAATGCCTGGCACACATGAGCATCCTACAGCCATACAGCAAAGATGGGTATGAACACAGGTGGCCAGCAGTCCCACCAGGGGCTGTATGGGATAGAGGAGGTGCCATGTCTGCCCCAGTGGAAGGAGGGATGCCAGGCAAACAAAAGCAACAGAGAATAACTAATTTATTAGCATGCCTGTATTGGGGTACTTCTGATGCCATAGTTTTACATCCCTCTGAAACAAACTATACTCAAGTGGGTCAATAGCCGCTGGTAAATAAGTACTTTCTTGGGTAATGGGAGTTAGTGCCTTCATCGTTAATTATAATGCCTTGATCTGCTTTAGCAGTACAGTAGGGGAGGGGGGGAAAAGGCTGTTTTCTAGTTAACTTAGTAACCACAAGTCCTTGGGAAGAACCTGAACCTGGAATTACAGAGGGAAGTTTTTCCCCCTCTCAATGCTATGCCCACCCTTAACAATACAGTAAGGTTATTGGGCTTTTGATAAAAATGACAGTAGTCATTTTCAGCCTATGTTTCTTGTAACAACTGAAGCAGGTGTGTCTTTCAATGTCATGGCCAAAGGCACATTGTATCTTAGTGTTGCAATCCCTTGTAAGAAATTCCCAAGTTATTTTTCCTTTGAAAATTTGAGAACCATTTTTCAAACTGTGGAATTCCCATTCTGCAAGATGTTAATAGGTATTCCTTCCATCCCCTCCCCACTGAAAAATGACCCAGTTCATAGAAATACAGTTGACTCTTGAACAATATGGGGGTTAGGCATACCAACCTCCGTGCAGTTGAAAATCTGCAAATAACTTTTGACACCCCCAAAACTTAACTACTAATAGCCTAGTGTTGGCCAGAAGCCTTACTGATAACATAAACAGTTGATTAACACATAGTTTGTTACATGTATTGTGTACTATATTCTTAGAATAAGGTAAGCTACAGAAAAGAAAACAGTAAGGAAGAGAAAATACATTTATAGAATTTATTGAAAAAAATCCATATATAAGTGGACTTGTGCATTTCAAACCTGTGTTGTTTAGGATTCAGCTGTACTATATTCAGTACTCCCCTCTTGGAGCGTCCCAACACACATGAACATTAATGCATCACAATAAAGAAATATGTTTACTCTTGTTATACCCAAAGTTTCTCACACTTGCTTAACCATAAAACCTCCCCTTTTTAAAATGGAACATCCATTAACATCTTGAGGGATAGTATTCCAAAGGATACATTTTAACAAAACACTGCTTTAGTATTCTAAATCATAATACTTTTATGAGTTTGCCTGTATAGAAAGTGATGTAACTTATTTCAAAGTAAAATAATTTTGTTTGTAAATTGCTTTGAGATCATTATAGTTACTGTGCAAATCTTCGTACATTGCCATTCTATAGTTTAAATAATTACATCTTAATTTTATTTTCAGTTGATTTTCTTTACCTGTAATAATATGAATGGTAAATTTTTTAAAATAGGAGTTATGGATTGTATATAGGAAAAATATTTCCAAAGAGTCATTAATTTTTTTATTTGTTTGTAGATGCAAAGAAGTCAATGTAGGGGGCTATATATTGAATTTATGGTCCTGGTTTTTTTCCTCTTAGGTCACTATTTGTGAGTTGGGTGGTATTCCAATTGTTGGAAGCAAAATCAAAGATCCCAACCACAGTATTAAAGAGAAGGCTTTAAATGCACTGAGTAACCTGAGTGTGAATGTTGAAAATCAAATCAAAATAAAGGTAAGCTATCTGAAATCACAAATGTGTAAGGTTATCCATAAATGAAAGAGAAAATAACCAAAAGGTCAGAAATGAAATTTTAGTAGACTATCATTTATAACTTTATGGCCAAGAATTACTCTTTTCCCCCAGCTTTATTGAGAAATAATTGATATAACACTGTGTGAGTTTAAGGTGTACAGAGTGATATTGCAAAATGATTACCAGCATAGTGTTAGCTAACACCTCCATCATCTCACATAATTACCTTCTTTTTCCCTGTGGTGAGAACATTTAAAATGTACTCTTTTAGCAACTTTCAAGTATACACTACAGTATTATTAACTATGTCACCCTGCAGTACATTAGGTCCCAGAATTTATTCATCTTATAACTGGAAGTTTGTACCCTTTGACCAACATCTCCCCCGTTTCCCCTACTCCCAGCCCCTGGCAACCACCCTGCTACTCTGTTTCTATGAGATATGCTTTTTTAAATTCTGTATATAAGTGAGACCATTCTGCATTTGTCTTTCTCTGTTTGACTTATTTCACTTCATATAATGTGCCCTAGGTCCATCCATATTGTTGCAGATGGCAGGATTTCCTTCTCTTTAGTAACTGAATAGTATTCCACTATGTATATCACATCTTTATCCATTTGTCGACAGACACTTAGGTTGTTTCTTTGTCTTGGTTATTGTGAATAATGCTCCAGTGAGCTTGGCAGTACAGCTATCTCTTCCAGATAGTGATTTTGTTTCCTTCAGGTAAATACCCAGAAGTAGAATTGCTGCATCATCTGATAGTTCTATTTTGTAATTTTTTGAAGAATCTCCATACTATTTTCTATAGTGGCTGCACCAATTTACATTCCCATCAACAGTGCACAGGGTTCATTTTTCTCCACATCCTCGCCAATACTTGTTGCTTGTTGATTTAATAATAATAGCCATTCTGACAGGTATGAGGTGATATCTGTCTCATTGTGGCTTTGATTTGCATTTCCCTGATGACTAGTGATGTTGAGCATCTTTCCATGAACTGTTGATCATTTGTATGTCTCCTTTGGAGGAATGTCTATTCAGGTCCTCTGCCCATTTTTTAATGGGTAGAATAAGGCAGAGGAGGAAGGGATCTGAACCAGCCAGCAGGAAGTGCAGTGACCTTTTGAGTTTGGGGATTAAGTTTAATCCAAGTAGTAAAGGAACCAGGCCAGAGTCAGATTACATCAGCAGAAAGATACAACAAATTAGGAAATTATGTTAACGTTTATTCAGCTCCTGATCTGTGGTACAAAGTTAAGAAATGAACATGATTAACATCTTTTTTAAGAAAGCTAGGAGGCAGGATAAGGTAAATTCATAAATGGTTGTAATCAAGGCAGAACATGATGAAGTACTTTAAGGAAAAATATAACTAAAAACATCATTGAGTACATAGAAAGGGGAGATCACATCAAAAAATTTCTGTAAAAGGTGGAGTGCCACCTGGCTCTTAAGGTCTAAGTTTTCTACAGGTAGAATTGGGGAGGAGGGAATTCCAAGAGAAAGGAACAAGGTAAGGTGGGCACAGGTCCAGGAATAACTGAGCTGACCCATTTGGTAATCTTGTTGCTAGAACTGAAATGGAAAAAGGTTCAGAGATAGTAGGGATGTAAATGCCCAACACATTTTAGGAAATGCTTTGAGAGACATCAGTATCTTACAAAAATATGACTTTTAAAGAGCTAAGTAAATGCCATGTTGTTTTTTAAAGGATGGATGTGTAATAAAATTGTCACCCAAGAGAGCTAGTTGACTTATAGACATCATTTAGATCTTGAAACCATATTAAAAATTTAATCTCTCTTTGCTTTACTACCATTGCTTTAGTTTCTATGGTAACATGGATACATGTAGATATTTTTTAAATGTTAATACTGGCTTATGGGACAATTTATAATTTCTTGACATTTTATATTAGGAATTTTTCTTACCACTTAGAACTTTTGGTGGGGTTGAGATTTAGTTGGGTGAATACCAGTTATCTGCGAGATATAATTTTTCCATGGTGGAAAGATCATGGCCAGACATAGAAAATAAAGTTCAAAAAACTTTCCATCACATTGGGTTTAGTTCTATTATGTGTGAAATAGGAGTACTGCCACATTGCATTACTTTTTGCCAGTGGTGGTTAACAATATTGTGAAGGAGTAGTTCATATACGTACCCTTAGATATTTATGAACCTTGGGCCAAATGTAGTTTTGCTTCTGCTCATTTTTGATAGGACTAACTCTAAAGAAAAATTCTGTTTTACTCCCCTGCCCCCACCTATTTTTCTTCTAACTTGATGTACCTCTTAGACCCTACTGTTAAGGTACTTAAGCACAGTACAAAGTGGCTTCACACATGTTCCTCCTTAATTCGGGTGTGCTCAGACCAATTGACTCAGAAAGTAGACTGAGCTGGGAGGTCCCCAATAAGTGAGAGGCCACTGGTGTTGAGAACATGGCCTCTGGAATTGGACATTGCTCCCACACCGGCTGGCTTATACTGGGAAAGGGATGCAAACTCCTTGAAGACTTTAAAGTCCTTTTCTGTAAAATGTTCATAATAATACCCACCTCATTAGAATTTTACAGATTAAGTGAGGTATATTTGTAAAATGCTCAGCATAGTGCCTGGCATTAACAAAGGCGGCTTTTTTAAAAAGTTGCCAAACTCTTGAGAGTTGGAAAGAAGTGTCTTCTTTTCTGAGGAGTCAGTCTCATCCTCAAACAGTCATCCTGTCCCACTGTGCAGAAAAGTTAGTGTTCAATAGAAAAATTTTGGAGATTCTAAGATGCTCATTTTTTTCCCTCCGCCTCCAGGTATACATCGATCAAGTCTGTGAGGATGTCTTCTCTGGCCCCCTGAACTCCCCTGTGCAGCTGGCGGGACTGAGATTGTTAACAAACATGACAGTTACCAATGACCATCAGCACATGTTTAGCAATTACATTACAGACCTGTTCCAAGTGTTGCTTACAGGAAATGGAAGCACTAAGGTACGAAGGAAGCGATTATTACTTGAAGTATGAAGAGCTATTGCATCAAGCTTATAAGATTGGCATTGAATTTCCAAGTCTCTCAAAAAAGAGAGAATGTTTAAAGTTTATTAAAAACTCGTACATGAGTCCAAGAAAGTAAATTATTTTTATCCCCTAATATTGAATTTCAAAATTAACTTGTGAAAAAATATATTTCACTTATCAATAGATTGGTATTTATTTGGTTTTCTACACATCTGTTTACCTTTTCTAGCTAGCTTCCCCTCCCCCCCAATAAGATATAGGAACATTGTGATTAAAAGGCATCTTTGAATGATAGTGCTGGTTAATTGAATTTTTGCTTACCTTAGGGTTAACAAAGCATTTTTTTGATTCAGCTGTTATTAGTTGAAAAATCTTTTTACAACTACTTTTAGATTTTAGTAATGGACATCTCAGCGCTTCACTTTGACCTGTTATCTAGACACAGAAGGCAATAGATTAAACTGAATTAAGTAGCATCTCAAGAGACACCCTATGAAAGTTACTTGAGCAACCCCTCATATTAGTGTGCATTCTTATCAAGTGCCATTATTCAAGAAATAGCATAAAAACAGAAGGTAGATTAATTATAAAGTTGTTGATTAGTTGGGTTCATCCATCAGTGTTTTACTATATTGGCCTCTGTCTTCTGGCACAGTTGACAGAAAAATGCACAAGCATTTTATTTTGTTTTTATTTTTCATTTATTTTTTAATCCTCACCTGAGGATATTTTC